TTTCCTCTGTGTTCTCCAAATTCTGCAGAAGAGGAAATGGTGGAGATTTAATTGAAATCTAATCAAGCCGATGAGGCAAGTGAAGAGAACTTAGTCTGCTGCTGGAAGGGGTTAGAGGGGAAAGAGAGAGAGTGAGAAAGTGACAGAAGCGGGACGTTTGGGAAATGGAGTCATTTTTCTCCTCAGTCAAGGAGGAATTGTGTGATTTGTGTTCCTTCGTCTGGATTTATAATGTAGACCAGAATAACTAAAATGTAAAGAAGAGCTACAGTAAAGACATAATCATTACAGGAATAGATTTATTTTATCCGTGCTTGGATACTATAGTCAGAGACTTGTATTAGGGACTTGTTTTATATGTATTAGGATCAAATATGGGTAACTAAATTTAATTAGACTTTCCATTTAAACCGTGATAATTTTGGTGAGAAAGAAAGAAAGAAAGAAAGAAAGAAACCGATCCTAGGAGTGTATGTTTGGTCATATTGGGGGCAGTCGTGGCCTAATGGTTAGAGAGTCGGTGAACCTGAAGGTCACAGGTTCGAGTCTAGGGGCCGGCAGGGATTGTAGGTGGGGGGAGTGAATGACCAGCGCTCTCTTCCACCCTCAATACCACGACTGAGGTGAGACCCTTGAGCAAGGCACCGATCCCCCAACTGCTCCCCGGGCGCCGCGGCAAAAAAGGCTGCTCACTGCTCCGGGTGTGTGTTCACGGTGTGTGTGTTCACTACTGTGTGTGTGCACTTGGATGGGTTAAATGCAGAGCACAAATTCCGAGTATGGGTCACCGTACTTGGCCACACTTCACTCACTTCACTTCACTTCACTTTTAAAACAGTGGTTAACATAACTATCTTGGTAAGACCATGGTAATATCATGGTTTAGGGTATAACAACATGTATATCTTATACTATAGTAAAAGATACCTTATGCTTCAGCGCTGTTGAATTCTTAATTCTGATTGTTCAGAAGGTGTTGATAAATTTTCTGTTAATTTCCTGATGTCTACATCGAACAACAGAAAGGGGAATAAGTGTAATCTTGGTGACTTTGGCTGTGGCAGGGTTGTTCGTGCCAGAGGTGCTGGTTTGATTGTGAAATCTCCTGGGATGTTCACAAACAGACTCTAGAGTTTACACAGAATGATGCGAAAAACAACAAATATCTAGTGAGCAGGAAGGCTACAAAAACCCAAATAATCACTCTTTACAACCGTGGTGAGCAGAAAATCATTTCAGAATGTGCACAGCATTGAACCTTGAGATGTATGGGCTACAAAAACAGAAGACCACATCAGGTTCCACTCCTGTTAGCCAAGAACAGGAATCTTGATTGAAAGTTGATGATTGAAAAAATAATAATAATACCATGTTTTTTTTTCTCCAATTTTCAACTATCCAGTTTTGTCACTTTATATCAGTTCATTAATTATTAAGAAGTGAACAGTGCTAAAACTTTTTGTGAGCTGTTTACATTTCCCCACTTTGCTTTAATTACTTCTTTATAGCTTTTGCGCTAGAAATGATCTCACTGAGCTGCACTTAAGTGCTTTCCATTGTGTCGGTGGCATCGTGAGAGGAAATGCTGCTGTCAGAGATCATTAAGCTGGAGGTCAGACGTGCTGCACGTCACTGCCTAGCAGCCAAAATGCCATTATTTTCCATAAATCACATGAGCAGAATTTGCAAGTATACTCTTGACTTATTTGCACCCATTTAAATGCAACCATGACTATTTAATTATGTAAAGGGAGGTGTTTGTGCAAAGTTTAATACTCAGCTGAGTTACACAGACTCCTCTGTGACATAGTGATAAATTGGCAGTGGCCTGTGCTGAGCCAAACTACCTTTCCAAAGGCCTTGGCTGCTCAGTTTAAAGGACATTTAAAAGAGAAAATGTCATGCCTTAATGTTAACATAATGTAAATGAATGAAAAATTAGTGGAAGCCAGTTAGCATTATACCATGCAAATATGTTTATGCCAACTGGACTCCATGGCTAGATTAATGCATAGACTGCAAATCCTAATTGTAATGTTAATTGGCCGTGTATTTTCATCTGTTCTCCAGGCAGAAGTTATGCCATATGGAGGAAATTAAATCTTTTTTTTTTTCTTGTATCATAATGACCAAGACAACATTCGGAGCATACCGCAGCACCTGTTAGCAAAGACTGAAAACAGAGAACATGTCAAATAGCAACTGGTCCACAGCTGAGACCTATAGCTCACTCTGAGCCGTTCATACCCTCAGGTTATTCTACACATAGGTACAAGAGCAAAAGTCAAAATAAATGTAATATTTATGCTTCGTCCAGCCTCTGCTTTTGAGCTAGTGTAAATATTTTAAATATGCCACACCTCATCTCCTTTATTTGGAAGTGGAGTGTAGTCTTTCACGCCATTGCAGACAAGAGCAATCCCTCCACTGACTATCACTATAATTAAATTGAGCTCTACGTTGGACAATGGAACTGAAGAATTATGGCAGTCTGTGATGAGAAAACCGTAACATCGTAGCTAATGGAGACTACCATCCCCTTTAATGAAGAGCTTCTCCTGCGGGCAAGAATTAGATTTAGAGTTAGCAAAAGTGTTTGTATGCAATCACTTTTTTGTTACTTCTTTTCTCCTACTTCATACCTATATAACACACGTTCTCACTCTGCTTTCTCACGTTCTCACACAAGGGCTTAGAAAGTAAGGAATAAAACACTTGTAGGAAAATAATCAATGTGATGCGGCCTGACGTGGAACAGAGTTACTGTTAACACCCCGAAGAGGGTTATTTTCCAATAACAGCATGTCATGAAGTGTTTTATTAATCTATTACCACAACAATTTAACAATGCTAACAATTTTTATTTTTTAAAAATCCATTTATTATGGAATTTCCTTGAAAGTTAGTTCCAGGGATCACTTGCGTTTTAGCAGCTATAAACAGTTATTCCCTCACCAGCCTCTCTTTTTTCTCTCTCTTGAAGTTAATAAGCTTGTCATGTTACCAAGAATCTACAAAACATAAACTTCTCTGTCCTGCACTGACACCGACACTGGAGACTCCTTCCAAAATGCTAAACAAACATCTCCTCAATATGTCACCATATGTTATGTGAAATTCAGGACAGTACTAAATTAAAAACAAAATGCAATTTTTATGATCCCTCTTGTTTTTTTTTTTTAATTATTAACATTTTGCAGATTCTGCAAGGCGCATGTAAACTTATGACCACAACTCTACTTGCTTTCAATTACTGTAATAACTGTAATACAGCTCTCCTCATTACAACCTGTGTACAGAGCAGCTAAGCCATTGCATTGCAGATTTACACAAGTACCTATTCAATTCAGGAGGACTATTTCCTTGGCTGTTAAAGGGCTCCAAAATCATTGACTTCTATTGGGTTTACATCTACAGGTTCATTTCTTCCCTATGAGCATAATTTGCCAAAGAGGCATCATTTTGTTAATGAGTACAGACCCAAACTCATAAGAACCCAGCTTGTAAAAAAAGAAACATATAAAAATGAATTGTGAAGATGAGAGGAAGCCCTGGTGTTCCAGCATAGTGGCAATATTTCTTAACAGCATTACTGTTTCTGTGTGTCTGCTGCTCCCATCGCGGAAATCAACAGTAGAAAGGTCAGGTGCCCTAAGCTGCAAATTAGCTGACTATTTAAGGCCTGACACTCAATTCTGATATATTTATTACACAAATGTAGATATGCAAACATTACACGTGTGTTTAAAGCAACCCCAACAGTGTAATTTCAAACATTTACAAATGATAAATTGTTTGTTATTTTATTGCCTAAGAGCCTAGGAACATCTCTGCAACTTTAATCTTTTAAAACAAATATAGGAAATAGGAATCTATGAGTATGCATGGTGTGCATTTTGGAAATACCCCTGCCTGCTTGTGCAATTCAGCAAAAACAAACAAACAAACAAAAACCCTTCCTTCCCCTACCCTGGTTACACTATGCTACTACCTGTGGTCTACTGTGCAAAATCTCAAAAGTCTAAAACGAAGATGAAGGGATCGTTGAGGTAACACAGCGGCAAGTTCTGCTATCGATTAGCATTTTTAAAAAAATATATATATATATATTTTCTGTATTTTACAGCAAAATAGCTTATATTCATCACATTATCTCAGAAATTTGCATAACGTTGACCAAGATTTTTTTTTTTTATCACTAACGTTAGCTAAAATGGCAGGTTTCCTACAATCTACAAGTTTCCAGGCATGTCAATGCCTAGTAATTTGTCAAGCAGTTCAGTTTGTTTTGTGAAATCACTAACCGAGCTCATACATGTCTCTGTTTTCAATAGAATTTACTACTGCATTAACAGCTTTGACCCAAATACCAGTCTAGATAATCAAAGCAGCAATCCAAGAGCACAAGCATGCCTGTTTTATATCTTACTCATATCTTGTAAGATACGAGATACTAAATTCTTAAGACACTGAGTCTTAGACACTCAATCACATGACAATCTTCAGCTAAATCCCATCCCAAATGGCTCACATTCCCTCTAGTGCAGTACATACAGTAAAATAACTGTTTATACACCCTATGTAGCACACTACAGTCCAGTAAAGAGCCATTCTGGGGTTCAGCCATACTTTGATGCACTTAGGATATGTCTTTTTAGGGGTGGGTAGGATGACTGAAGTAGAACTCGGCAGTTATTGTGTAAATGGAATCTGACTTGTGCTGCTGTCTTTGCATAAGATGAAAGTATGAGTAGATTTGGGAGCTTGGAAGCTTTTAACTTGTTTGCCAGAGTTTCATATTTCATTTGTCAATCTGGACTTTAAACCTCACTCAGACTCCCACTACCTCATTTCAGCATATTTTGGGGTTTGGCTTCAATATGGAAAAAGTTCAGAAGGAAATGGACCATAGAGTTTGTGTCCTGGTCATTGTGTCCTTTAAAACCCAGTGGCTCATATGACGAGAATTAAAACCTATTAGTTATACAAAAGTTTTCGGTTCCCTGGTGGACTAGTGGCTAGCATGTGGCGCCCTGATCGCCACAGTGTGGGTTTGATTCCTGGTCAGGGAATCAACCCCAGCCACTGGAGGGCTGCACGAGCCAGGGCACTCTCAGTGTCGGTCCCAAGCCCGGAAACGGGGAGGGTTGTGTCAGGAAGGGCATCTAGCGTAAAACTTGTGCCAGAATCAAAATATGTGGATGGGTGATCTGCTGTGGGAGCAGCCGAAAGACAGTTATATATAAGATGTAAATAACATGTTTGAATGGTAATTCTGTACACTATAATATTATTTTAGCTGTCAAACTGTTTTCATACACTGCATCAGTCTTAATGTAGACTTTGTAGACTGTTTTCATACACTGCATCGAATACTGTAGGCTTGCTGCCTGAGTCCATTGTAAACACCTGCTCTGGGCATCATAGAGCACCAGTAGGAACCCAAATCCAGTTGAATTAGATCACACAGTACCACACAGAACCAAAATTGAAATGAATTAGAACCGTAACTGAGCTGTAGTGCACCACTGGGAACCAAATATAAGTAGAACCAGCAGTTCTCATTTATCAATGTATGCATAGAGCAAGTTGTAATTTTGTGCATAAGAACCACCAGTATGCACTAGAAAATTGGAATTGATCACGCATGCATACATACATACACACATGCAATGGATGCTGATAAATCCTCATTCTAAATGATTCTGCTTGTGCACACATTTACATAAAGAAACATCCCCAAGTAAAAGGTGATTTTATGTTTACGTGTGTGCAATCTACTGCCCCAAGTATATTTCGAAAACCTACAATGATGTGAAATTCCCTCATTATTGTTATCTTTTCTGCTGCCTTATTTGGAAATGTAATGTATTGTGACATACGTGATAAGAAGGCTTACTCAGTACCACAAAGAACAAAATCTATATGAACATGGTTGCTAAACAAAACAGAATTAATCAGGATTAATTAATCAATCAGGGTGCCACAGAACTAGAATCTAAAAGCCACTGTATACTGCGTGACAGTGGATAATCTCACCTGGATACTGTAGATTTGTACCTACGAGCTGCTGCTGTAATCACAAAGACTGTGCTGTGCTCATCGCAGGACTCTTATTCACAATATGGCCATAGTATAGCGCTGTAGAAGTAATGATTTTTAATCATGCTATTCGGTGTCACCCAAAAGAGGAGGAGTTACCTTTTGAGCCTGGTTCGTCTCAAGGTCTATCCCCCATGTCATCACAGGGAGTTAAATAGATCAATTAACGCAACATTAAGCTAAACTAAGCTAAAATTAAGATAAACTAGATTAACAAACATGACACAGAACCAGAATCAAGCTGAACTAGATTAGCAAACGCCACAAAGAACCAAAATCAAGATGAACTAGATTAACAAACAGCATACAGAACCAGAATCAAGCGAAACTAGATTAACAAACACTCCACAGAACTATAAATAACCTAAACTGGATGGATGAACACCACAGAACCAGAATTAGGTTAAATTAGATGGATGAACGCCACAGAACCAGAATTAAGCTAAACTAGATCAGTGAATACCACACAAACCTAGGACCAAGCTCAACTAGGTCATTAGGAAAAACACAGACTTTAAATTGAGATGAAATTAACCACAGAGCCCTAAATAATATATCAGTATGTTCATTACACAAAGCTTGCATTCATACATGTTAACTACCTTGTGTTACCTTGTTTTATACTGTTATAGTAAATCCCCCAATCTATTATGTGCTGTTCTATTTATGGTCTGTGTTCTACTGTAGATCTGTACCTTCTAATAACTGCTGCTGTAATTATAAAGACTGTGCTGTTCTCATCCCAGGATTGCTATTCACAATCTATTCATACTGAAAAGCCTTTCTTTCTTTACTACACCTCCATACTGTAATGATTTACAATCCAGAAGAGGATGGGTGAGTGTAGGTCCTTGCAAGGAATATCCCTCGTGCCATCTCAGGGAGTTTTTCCTCACCACTGTCTCATCTGACATGCTCATTGTGGAATTGAATTCTATTTAATCTTCTTACTTGTTGAATCTTGTGTTTCTTTTTCACTCTGCATATATCCATCCACAGGGTACTTCACAGTGCATTGTTATGTTGTACTCTGATTTATGCTGCACTGGTGTAAATCTCGGTGAAAGAATTGTCACGTTAGAGATGTAGAAATGGAGATCTTACGCTTGCGTTTTATTATGAAATACTAATCATATTACTATATCGTATCACTAATCAGGCTTGAAAGGATGTGTGAATCTCCTCCAAGCTGTTGTACATATAGAACCTGACGAGGATTTTTTCACCTTTGGTTAAATCTTTTATTCAGAGGACTACATTTAAATGAAACATTACATCTCATAGGACTTGTCCTCAACTAACATTCCACTCTGACTGCATCTTACATTGGATTAAAACAGTTTTAATGGATTTTATCCCAACAATGAATCTGATATTAAATGGTATAAGTAAGGTGGAAATACTCTGGAATGGGCAGCATGCGCACACACATAACACACTCGAATCCTAGGTGGGAGGAGAACCTGGAGGACCTCCTTGCAGACGCAGGGAAACATGCAAAACTGCAGTAACCTGAGCTCAGGATGGACCTGGGGAGCCTGGAGCTGTAAGACAGCAGTTACCTGCTGCACCACTGTGCCACACCAGTATCTGATTACTTAACATATTACCATCAAAATCATAATCGGTGATCGGATTGTTTTGTACAGGAAAACAACATGTGCTGTAAAAACAACAACTGCTGCATGTATTTTAACCCTCAATAAAAAGGTTAAAAAAACCAAACAATTAAACAACAAATTATGCAAACAGAGGAAAGTGTACAAATACATGCAGACCACTGCTTTTTAATTGTGAGCTGGGGGAAGTCTGTGGGGGAAAAAGCTCCTGATATGCCTTATTTTTCCACTGAGCTGGTGTATGCTGATTCGATTTGTCCAAGAATCAAATGTATACTCGATTACTTGGAATAGTGGAACAGCTGCTCTTTAAGGCAGCACTCAAGTTGCCATTTTTCTTACTTTTCAGTTGTACATACAGTATATTGTGAAACGGATGTTATTTTTGTTTTGCTTGTACGCTTATTCACACTTATGGGCAATTCAGCATAGCCCATTCACATATCAGCATATCAGGGCCCTGGAGCTGTGAAGCAGCAATACTGCCAGTTGCACCACCATGCTGCCCTGTTGTTCTGTGTATGGCACACAGCTCTCCAACACTGTGATCAAAGCGTGACATTGTTAGAGTGGTTTTAGAAATCTTTAGGCAGACTGACTGTGATTACCATTGCATTTGTTAAACTCTTGTCTCTTTACACTACAAGATCTTTGTAGCCTAGGCAAGACTAATTTTAGCCATAACAGGATCATCATTTTTTTTGTCTGTTTGCCAGAATTAAGCCACAGTGACATCCAGTGGGTTTTCCCAGACTGACAGAAGGTGTCGATGTCTGTCATTCCTCTGGAGTCAACATCATCAGACCTCTGCTCTAAAACCAGAGACCAACTCCGTCTTGCAGGGGTTTTCCACATCTTGGCTCTGATCTCCTCCATCAAGCTTTATAATTCTATGAAAGGAAACTGACTCAGGTTAGTAGCTTTTGCAAAGTACCGGCCCTGGGGAAGCATTTGTGAAATGCATCACAGTGAGTGCTGATGTAGAATCGGCTACTCAGGTGTGATTATAATCACGATTTAAAAAGGCCCAAATCCAGCTAGTCCAGATCCATCAGCAGTCTCGCATTGAGAAGTCTGATAACCGCCAGAGTCTGCAGGCATACTGATTAGAGTCGAAACGGGGCGTTAAAATATGGAGAGTCGGTTACACACGCTGCCTTGCATTTTCTATTTCTTTCTCTTTTATATGGCTTCTTCTTGTTTTCGCCTTTGTTTTTGAACCTTGTTGCTCTTTTCTGTTTTCAGCCCATTTCCTTCTGGATATTTTCAAAGCTGGTGAATTATTGATGATTACACACACACACACACACACACACACACACACACACACAGAGGAAGTAGCTCTTGCACTTTCTCTTCCAAAGATTTAAGGCACATTTGTTCCACATTTATTTGTCTTGTTCTGTTTAGGTTCTTTATTAGAAAATAAAGCTCTGCGTGTGTTGCATACTTTATTACTGTATTGATAAAAGTGTTCAATTGTTCTCATTTTCATTTTATATTATAATCCTTTTATACAGAACATTATCTGCATATCTGCTTCAGTTACCCTGAATTTTGTGGCTCATCTTCCTGAAGGCTCTTCTCTTCTACGCAGCCAATGACTCAAGGAATGTAGTAATCGATCCAGTCATCATTTCAGCTTACCTCTCTCCTCTCCCTCCCTCCCTCCCTCCCTCCCTCTCTCTCTCTCTCACTCACACACGCTCTCCTCCTCAGTTTGTTCTCACTTGTATCGAATCTTTATGTTTCCACAATGATCTCACTGCAAAAGCTGCTTTAACTCACAGCAGGTGCTACAGCCTGCAGCCTCTTTGTTTTTTTTTCTGCACAAATAGATACAATTCATTACAATTGGAGCATTTATTTATTAGTAAAGGATGTGATAAACAACTGATTATTTATTATTTAAGACTGACCAGCTAAAAGGAAAAAAAAAAATTCAGCAACAATAGGACTAAGTTATAAGTCCATTATTTCTTGATTCATTCTTGCTGTAAATAGAAAGCAAAACAAGTTTCAGTTTTTAAAAATGTATAAGATATGTGTTTCATATATACTTTTTTGTGTTTCCATGGGCATACATGTATACTGAGATGGAGACATGTGTCTGAGTGCATGCATTGCTGTGTATTATATTTAAACTGGATTCACTGTAAGTGCAGTCTAATTGTTAATCCCTTTGAGAAAACAGGACAACTATAAATACCACTGTAACTGAATCCTTCTATTTTCAGTGCAACTCAATAAGCCACGTGGGCCTTTCTATCCCAGCAGCATGCTTTTGTGTGTGCGTGTGTGTTTGTGTGTGTGGTGGTGGTGGTGTACGAATGGGCAAAGTGTCCTCGTTA